CGATTTATATATTTACCTGCAGTGCAGTGTTGCAGGAAATGAAACAACGGGATCTGTCACTGAAGGGTAAAGATTGAGGGTCGAATGTAACAAAATTCTTGTAAAAAGTTCAAATTTTTTATCAACTACTAAAGATATTGACGGGTATCATCACCATTGTGATCATCATCATGGTCATAGCTTATTGAAAATTAGCTCTCAAACAAAACATACGGCCTACCAACCTTCTTCCACCCACAAGATCAAACATTAGAACAATCACAAAAAGCAGCCTCATCTGAAAATCTTCCCAATTGGCGAGGCCAGTCGGTAGATTACAGTAACGCACAAGCATTTCAAATGAGAGGGGTCTGCTTGGCAGCACAACCTGATTTTGAGCTCCAACAACTTTTCTCAGTTCTCAGATAGTACACATCCGATTCAGCTGTTCTTTTCCAGGTTCAGCCAACCAAACACATCCTTAATCCTCATCGCTCCACTCTCCACGCTCGTCATCAGAAAGGCCCTCTGGCGGATCATAGACAATCATGCCAGGGAACAATTCCAAAAAGTCATCCTTCACCTTCTCCCTCAGCTCAGGATATGGGATAAGCCCTTTTAATATTACGCGATAGGGCAAAGACAGTGGTGGGTCGGGCGAACATCTCATCTCGTCATTATATATCCGCATGGCCTCGTCTGGCAACCCGCTGTCGAGAAAGGCCCTGATGAGGTCACCAAAAGTGTGCTGATCAAAAAGGACTCCCTCTCTCTTCAGATCGGTCCAAACTGTTTGTGCTTCGTCGATTTTTTTATTCCGTGCTAGCATCATTAGCATGTCCCGGTGGAAAAACATGTCTGGACGGTACCAGGTTTCCTTGCGCACCACATCGTACAACTGCAATAATAATTTATTTTTTGTTACTTTTGTTTTAGAAAGACCAAATTTTTTTTCCTGGCAAAGCTGTTTTAAGGTCTTAATGGGACAACAGCATAAGAATTTGTCAGTGTTGAAATCCTCCTTAAAGCAATTTATTTCCAACATACACAACTTTTCACGAGACCAAGAGATCATCTTAGGGTGGTTTTTTTCGGCTAATGATTTCAATTTTGAATCTACAGTTCCCACAGGGATTGTCTGGTGTGGTTTGCCTAATCTGGAATGGTTTGTGAAGCATTTGTTTCAAAGATGGCATAATTAACTGAAGCAACATCTTGAAAAAAAGATGGCCAGAAGGATGAAATAAATCTGCAAAAAGCATGATAAAGTCCTACAGAGTCAGAATTCAACCTCACAGATCTATCTTTCATTCCCATATGCACTTCAGAGCATCTGGCCCTTGTAAGCTATTATTATTTTGATTTCCTAGGCAATTCTCACAACACACAACTCAAATCCAATTGACAGCTCAAATTAAGCGATTAGATTCTGAAATACAAAATGACATTTAATTTCTCTTATTTTCGATATTTGTAAAACGTTGGAGTAAGCCAGGCATCTACTGATGGAAAAGATATCTCGATTAGACAAAACTAAAACAATTTCGAATCAAAACCACATTTAACTATTGATTGCTCCTCTAATCTCGCAAAATCAAGTAAAACGATGCACATAACTACATTAAGTTATCAATTTGCTGAAAGGAGTAATGACCTTCATGGAGAGGGATACGAGGTTCTGTCGCTGAAACTCGGCGAGGACGGCGACGAGGTCGGACTTGAGTAGGCGGGAAACGTTGGCCTTCATGAACCGCTCGAACCGCACGGGGTGGCACTGGAGGCGCTTGAGCTCCTTCGCCACCATCAAACCCTCCTTCCCCATCTCCTTCTTGCGCCGCCATATCGACAAGCTAGGGCTTGACGCCGCTCCGGTGATGACGTATCTAGCGTAGGCCACACGCGGCTGTAGCTGGCGGCGTGAGGCGCCACGCAGCAGATGATGACCCTGCCGCCACATTTACCATCAAAAATGAAGGAGACCACGGCAAAAAATTGTGTAGCCGTAAAATGTTCAACCAGAAGTTGTTTTGTAGTACAATCTATTTTTGGTTTTAGTTTCACAAAAAATAGTATTTGATCATGTGTGTATGTGTACATAGGTAAATAAAATTTTATTATAGTATGTTTATGTAATATTTAAAATCATAAGCTAGATAATGTGGATCACATTTTATAATTATCATTAGTAAAATAGATATATAAATATAAACTATTAACTTTCATATTAATTATTATATTGATGAAAATAATTTAATTTTTGCAAACTTGACTGTTTATGACCAATTAATTAGATAAAAGAATTGAAATCATTAATATAAAAATTGTGCACAAAATTTATGGGTTTGGTTGTCCCATACAAAAATAATTAATTAATTTAAATAAAAAACTTGCTTAATTAGCTAAAAAAATAATATTTTAAATAAATATTTTTAAAAAATTTAGAATAGAATATCATTTAATATAACTTATGATTAGTTAGTAGTAGCCATTATGTAATAAAATAAATAAAATATAATTAATTTATTAATGCAAAATATAACATAAAAGAGCGGAAAAACAAAAACAATTATCATACATCAATTATATATATATATACACATGGGCGGACCAAATAACTATGTTTAAATCATAGTAACTTAATAAATAATTTGAAATATTAAATAAAATTTTAAAATGTAGTCAATTTAACTATAAAAAGGTACATTCCCATTGAATATATCATATGCAGTGATAATACTATTGAAAATTTAAATAATATACTAATAAAAATAAATTTGATGGTTGGGTGAAATTCAGAATTATAAATTTTACCTTAGAAGTATCTATGTACATCAAAAAACTATTCAATATTTTAAAATATATATTTTTTCTTATATACTATTTTATAAATAAAAAATAAGTTAATAAAAAAGCAATGTATAATAATTTAAATTATAGCATGTGGCAATTATGGAAATATATAATATATCTAAATATTCAAATAGATGCTATGTAACTCATTATATAGGTTGAAAAAATGAATTAAATAAATGAATATAAATAAAAAATAAAAACAAAATATTTAACAATAAAAAATTTATGTGGTGCATAAGGATTAAAGTTACTAAAAATTAAAATTTATTTATCAAAGAGTTTAACATTTAATGCACTTAATAATTATAGTGGAAGATAAATATTATGGGTTAAACATTGGTCAATTATCAAGCAATGTGCAAATTATGAATTGTTAAAAAAATTACAAAAAACTATGATAAACGACAATTTTATAAGTACATACAAGTAATTGTATGCAAATCTCATATGATCTTATACATTTATAATATTTTATAAATTTATAAATAATAAAATTTATATATTAAATAGTCAAAAACTACAAAATATATATATAAAATTAGAAATTAACAATAATAGTAAATAAATAAATGTCATATTATTACTGAATAGAATATTGTGTAGAATATAATTTTATATTGTCTTAAATAATTTTATAATATTTAAAAAAATTATTTTTGTATTGCATCCCGTGCATCGCACGGGTCTCAACTACATTACCAACCTAGTGTACAACTAGGTTGACAACACAAGTGAAAACATCTACTTCTGTATTTATTTATTTATTTATTTATTTTTAATGTTTTCACATGTGTTTCTGGTTGCTATCATCGCTACATCTAATCCATTCCTCTTCTTCTTCTTTCATGGAAAGATTTAAAAAGAAAAAGAGAGCGAAAAAGAAAGCCCTGCTCTTGTTGTTTTCTACAGATCGTCTCTGATTCTCCATTGCTCGAGTCGAGTTCGATCAGGGTCGAACCCGGGCTAAATCCCCATTTGAGATGTTTGCTCGAATCTGAGAAGTTAAGGAAGAAAAAGGCCAAATGTCGGCGCCTACCGCCGCACTTGAACGGCCTCGAATTGGGAACTCTAATACGGTAATGCCGCTAGTTAAATATGTTATCAACTAGGTATAAAAATACACGGGAATCCTACGAACTGATATGTATTTGGTCGACCCTCTGCGGTTCGCTTCTCTGTTCTGTGCGGTCCGCCATCCGTTGATTTCTCACTTCTTCTCTTATTAGTATTAGATTTCGAGAGTGAGTCTAGTCCTTGCTTTCTTTAGATTCTCTATCACTTTTCTTTTATGTGACAGATTTTTCTATTTTTCAGTTCTTACAAATAATCTAAAAAATAGAAAATTACAATCGAACTGAAAAATAAATTACAACCGAAAAATAAATTAAAACTTAAAACGAAAAGATTTTAGCCGAGGCGAGTAAAACTCTTTCCGCAAGAAGAATACGCCCCGTGTGGCAGCTAACGGTTTAGGTGTAACTTCCCCAAAGATACAACGGCAAACGTCTCTAAATCTGTAGCACACCAGATTTACAAGCTCCGGCGAACTGGAACGGAGTCGAGAATTGAGCACTTAAAAATAGAAATAAAAATATCTTTCTTTTGTTATTTTGATAACAAATAAATATTTCTATATTTTTCTCTCTGATTTTTTTTTATCCCTCCAAAATTATTTTAGATTGATTTTCTTTCTTTCCTCTCTTTTTCTCTCGTCAGCCGTGTGTTTCTTTTCCTGTTCGGTGCACTTTGTTCAACAACTGAACACGCATGTTTATACTGAAAGATAAGGGAGCAAAATAATTATTCCGATAAAGTAAAGAAGGCCATTGGGAGAGGAATAGACAAATTGCCATCAAATTGGCACAGTATCCAACGCTCAAAATTGTTATTATAATTTAATTGGACAATCATTTGGGAAAAGGACAAATTTGATGATAAATCCCTTCACGCAATTCAATAAATGATGAGATATTGGTTCCCATTCAATTTGTCCCATTCAATTTGTTTACACCCAACTATTAACAATAGTCCCAAGAGATTAGTAGTTAAGAGGAGATGGTTCACTTCATTATTTAACACTCATATTACAACAATCCCCCACATGAGTGTAAAATATATGTATACTAGTGTGCTCAATCCTTCACAAAACTCTATTGCATCAGAAAAGGTAGCTTCTGGCTTTGAACCTTTCTTAGTAAACATCATCGGATGCACTGGCGGACTAGTGTACATAATGCCTTGAACTATTCCTCCATAGTGTACAACGAGTCAATGACATTCACACAATAAAGTCTTAACTCCATTCCGTTCTATCGTTGTGTCCGTTTTGGCCATGGACAACACAATGGATTCATAAGTGTTTACATTTGAAGCGGCCCACACTTCACAATCATATAGATGACCTCCCTATCAAGAGTATCATGTATTACTCCACCTTTACAAGGTTAGGGATTCACTAAAAGTCCACATGACTTACTCTCACCACAATCAACATGTCATCTTGCACTTGGAGTGCTCTAGGGAATAGCTTAAGACATTCATATGTTCCAAGTGCTCAATTGAATTTTCATAGCTTAGTTTTCCCTTTGAACCAAGTTCGTGGGATCTCCACTTAGCATGGTAGGGTTACCACTATGATCATTCTTTACATTGTGGATTTTTAAGCCCATTCCCTCTAGCAAAACTACCATTGATCTCTATTCAATCCTTTCGTCAAAGGATCAGCCAAATTTTCTTTAGACTTCACATAGTCAATGGAAATAACACTATTTGTGATCAATTGGCGTACGGTATTATGTCTACGACGAATATGTCTAGACTTACCGTTATACAAGTTACTTTGCGCCCTACCTATAGCAGCTTAGCTATCACAATGAATCATCACAGGCGGCAAAGTCTTATCCCAACATGGAATATCGGATAAAAAATTTCTAAGCCACTCGGCTTCTTCACCAGCTTTATCTAAAGCGATGAATTCCGATTCCATCGTTGACCGAGCTATACACGTTTGTTTTGTGGATTTCCACGAAACTGCACCTCCTCCAATACAGAATACGTATCCGCTAGTGGAGCGAGAATCTCTCGAATCTGATATCCAGCTTGCATCACAGTACCCTTCAAGTACGGCTAGGTATCTCGAGTATTTTAGCCCGTATTCAAGAGTGTACCTTAAGTACTTAAGTACCCTTCTCAAAGCATTCCAGTGTTCATGACTGGGATTGCTCGTAAATCTGCTCAACTTATTCACCGGATAGGCCAAGTCTGGTCGTGTACAATTCGTCAAATACATCAGACTCCCTATTATCCGTGAATATTCCAACTGAGCCACTGGTCGACCTTTGTTGGCTGCCAGATTTATACTAAGATCAATGGGTGTCTTACACCTAGACTGTGCACCGTCATAGGTATCAAATTTCTTGAGCACTTTCTCTACATAATGAGATTGTGACAAGACAATTCCATCTTGGGTTCTGATAATCCTTATTCCAAGAATAACATCAGCCAAACCCATATCTTTCATGTCGAAATTTCTTTTCAACATTCTTTTCGTATCCATGATCACTTCATGGCTACTCCCCATGATCAACATATCGTCTACATATAGACATACAATCACAAATGCATTTGATGCACTCTTGACATAAACACATTTGTCACATTAATTGATTTTGAACTCATTTGATAACATCACGTCATCAAATTTCAAATGCCATTGTTTCGGAGCTTGTTTCAGTCCGTACAATGATTTGATCAATCTACACACCTTTCTCTCTTGTCCAGTTGCAACAAACCCTTCAAGTTGTTCCATGTATATTTCTTCTTCCAATTCACCATTCAAAAATGCCGTCTTGACATCCATTTGGTGAATCTCAAGATTGTGCAAAGCAGCAATCGAGAGAAGCACTCTTATCGACGCTAAACGCGTAACTGGTGAATAGGTATCAAAGAAATCATACCTTTTCTTTTGTTTAAAGCCTTTGACCACCAATCGTGTTTTAAACTTATCAATCGATCCATCAGCTTTATATTTCTTCTTTCGGATCCACTTGCATCCTAAAGGTTTACAACCATCAGGGAGATCAACCAACTCCCAAGTATGATTTTGCATAATGGACTCGATTTCGCTATTTACAGCTTCTTCCCAGAGTGGTCCATCTGGGCTGGACAG